TGGGTGGGTGGGTGGGTGGGTGGGTGGGTGGGTGGGTGCAGGGGTTGGCGTGCGGCGCACGCATGCGTCGCAGCTGCTTCGCACGGATTCCTTGTTGCCATCGCAAGTCTTCATCTTATCATAACATCGCATTCTGAACAGATGCGGAACTCTGCAAGGCAGGACTGGACAACAGAAGTCACGGATCTTGAGGTGAATCCCAATGAGCCTGTCAACGTTGCGGAGCCCTTCCTTCTGGAGACCCCACTGCTGCTGTGCTGCCGGCTTGAATCTGGTCGACCGTGCACGGCACTGGGCACTTCTTGTGGTAGAACTTTGGAGAGCAGAGGTTGTTCTCTGCCTGAGTCCAAGACGAAACATCACTTTCTCATGGGAACCTCCTGACTTCCGGAGTCGGGCACTCTCTGTGCGGCCGAGGCTGCGTCGTTGGGATCCGGGCAGCTCACGGTGTTCTTGCCGCAGGGGCAAGCCTTGCCGGACTTGGCGCAGGTCGTCTCCCAATCTGTGATCTTGCCGTACGTGTCGTAGTTTGGCACAGTGCACACCTCTTCCGACTCCTGGCTGGACGAAGGGCGGATTCAAGTGGGGCAGGGAGTGCAGGCTAAGCTCGGGTACCAATACGACCTGAACCCTGCACCCTCCTTGCAAGGACAGATCAGGGCTTTCTCGCTGGGGAGCACGCAAACGTCGCTTCCAGGGCACTTGGCGGTGTTCTTGCCGCAGGGGCAAGTAGCATCGGACGCGACCTCGGCGTTGCTTGGATCAACCTGTAGGGTCGCGGGAGTGGCAGGAACAGCAAAACTGGAGGAAGGGAGGAGCTGTGCCGGGAAGTCCCGGCATGGGCTCTGCGCTGGAGGTCAAGCGGCACAAACCTCCCGGTCACTGATGCGATTGCCAGCATCGCTGAAATCTGTGAGGTAGCCTCAGCGCCAACTGCAACTGCAGAAAAGAACTGGCGATGATGCTGGCATTGGTATCGGCGCCCTTGTGCTAAAGGGACCTTCTGAGCTTCATCTGAGCAGCATTTCTTCTGCTCTGCCGTGCAGGTGATGGGGCATCCCTCGCTGGCCGGTCTACATCCCACGATGTTGCAGCGCTCGGCCTCCTTGCCACCTTGGCAGCTAGAAATGGCAAGCTTCCGAGTCTGAGCATCAGATTGAACGCGCAACCCGGAGTGGGCACAGGGGCTCGGACAGGGGCACTTGTCGAAGCTGTCGGCACACTGCTCAGGAGGCTGGAAGTATCCCAAAGATGTGCCGTTGGGCAAGTAGTCGACCACCATGTCACACGCGACTTTGCCCTCGGCTCGAGTTGAACGTCGGCCGGGCAGTGGCGGCGTCAGCCGCCAACAAGCACCAGCAACTTCTACTGACTGCGCCCCGCACAACGCGCCATGTGCGGGGCATGCTGAAGCCTGCCAAACCCTCAGACGAGGATCTTCCGGGCACGTCACGGGGCAGTAGCCACCGACCTTCGGGAGGCATTCGGACCAAGAGCCGTACCACCTGAGAGGCGCTCGCATGCCGCCACACTCACATCGGAGCCAGCACATGAACCGGAACTCGGATCGACCTTGGAGCCATAGCGACGAGACCAAGTGGCGGGTCGCTGAAGGTGCACTCGAAGGCATTCTGGCCCTGTGAGCAGTCACACTTCTCGCCTCTGGGCACGCAAGTCTCCTGCGGACGCTCGAAACTTCAGACTCATAGACCCAGCTCACTCCAGCAAGAAACCGCGCGTCCTTGGTGCTGATCCAGTCTCCCTGCGCATCGTAGCTGGGGACGTAGCAGTAGTCTTCGTTGTCCTTGCAGTAGACTGGGCAGGTGTAGCGGGTGTTCATCCTGGGCACCAGCACCAGCAAGCACACGCATGTCCGAGCAGTCAGCTCAAGTCAGCTGAGGAGCCAGAAATCCCAGGTGGGATAGCAGAAGTCTTCGTTCATGTAGGGGTCGTGGCACCTCTGCGAGTGTGTTCCACAAGGGCAGCTCGTTCCCTGCGCGCGACAGGATTGCAGAGGTCAGAAACATCTCATCGCATCTCAAGGTAGACATCCGAGGCATGTTTGACGCCAACAAGGCACTCCCCGGAAGCTGGCCTGATCCACACACGTCTCCGAGTACGTGGTCGGGTAGCCTGTGGCATTGTAGTCCGTCTTGTAGCCTTGCATAGGGGGCTACCCGACACTTTGGAAAAGGTTACCATCGTGATGACTAAAGGGCTCTCATCCAGCTTAAGCGTGCTTTGTCTGGCCTAAACCAGTCGTTGCACATGTCATGACTTCAAACAGAATGTAAAAACACGAGCAAGTGATGTGAAGTGCTTGCAAACCGCAAACAAGGAACAAGCTTTGAACAAACCTTCTGGCCAAGAATTAGTCCTGACAGTCTGCTGCCTTAGCTTTAAGTCAAGCTGCACTTCTTCTGGTCTGCCCCGCAGCTAACCGGGCAGCTCCAGGCTTCGGGAAAGCAGTCCTCCTCGGATCGCTTCTCATGAGAAGCCGCTGCGATTTCATTTCGCAAGGCCCTCTGGTGGAGGGTTCGGACTCTGCAGCCCAAGTTCCAGCTCATAGCCATAGTCGTCCGTCCACTTGCAAGGCTTGGCGTAAGCTCCGCAGGGACAAGGCTCTGATGAGGCCACGCAGCTCTCGTTCACCGGTGATTGCCAGTCCTCAGCCAAGTCGCCGCAAGGTATTGGATCCAGCTTCGCAAATGCCATGCACGCAGCACAAGCAAGAAATGCACAGGGGATCTCCGAAAGCCCAAGCGGCAACCTCACCTGAGCCGCGACAGGTGGTCAGACTGTGCGAGAGACGTGCAGCCAACTAAACTTCCTGCCTTCAGGAGTATAGGTCACGGGATAGCAAGTCTTCTCATCTGCGGCACACATCAAAGGGCAGCCGTAGTAGGTAGATTCACAATAGGACCAGCCATCCATGTTGCCTGAGCTAGGCGATCAAGAGGGTCTAGATTGGCCTACGAGGCCAACTGCTTGACAAACACGAGACCCTCCAACCCGGAGACCTCGCAAGATTTCTGTGTTGTTCCGTTGTTCCGGAGCCTGTTCCCTCCCATCTGCAAACATTCGCAACCTGTGCAAAACTGCCACAAAGCTGCACTTGACGGAGTTGGCTCCACAAGGGCACTCCTGGTCTGCTGGAGCGCAGCGATCAGAGCCACTGACATACCAGCCTGGCAGACATGCGCCACGTTGGAGCAATAACTTTGGACGGGTGTCGAAGCACGTTGACTTCTTAGACCAGCCATGATGCTCGTGTCCCACACCCTTCTTGAGAATCGGCGCGCGCCTTGTGTATCATAGTCTGCGACCCAGCACAACTGCTCTTGCGAAGTACATTCGGCAGGACACTCGTCCTCAAGTCGCGAGCGCAATGAGTGTAAGTCGAATAAACCAGCAGTATTGGGCCAAATCAGAGAGCGGAGACATGTGGGTGCAGGGCCAGATTTTGGTCTCAGTAGCGCTGCTGGAGATGCAGTACGCGTTCATGCCAGTGCCACACTTCTTGGCACTTGTCGTGTCGCACTCCACCGGGCAGTCCCAATCATCTTCACCTGGGATAGCGCGGCTGCCCGGCCGGTTCAAAGCAATGGCAAGGAAAAAGAAGAGGAAAAAGCAAGGAATGAGACTTTGAGATCGGCACCGTTCTTTGTCACTTGTGGCCCCCCCGTGAATCAGAAGTCAAGCACCACTGTTCTCTCGAGTGGCTGGTCCTGTCCTTGCAAAAGGTCGACCACTTCATGTAGCCGGACACATCAAATCCTAGCCGGCCAAACATTCAAACAGCTCCCGCACAAAAGGGCAAAGCCAAATAGCCCTTGTCCTACCGTGGAGCAGTAGAGCTGATCCACGGTGCAAACCACGGGGCCTTGTCTTGCCCCCGCAAACATGCAGGCCGGGCATGCGTTGCATGGGATGCACGTCGGGGGAGAAAACGGGACGGGTGACTGGGAGAATTGCTGTCACATGTCGGCCAAACATGTTAAAGCCCAGCGGCAGCCATCCGGATACCACTCCTTCGCGTAGCACTCATACTTGCCAATGGAGTCCTGCGTGGCAGTCGTCCAAAGTTCGGGTGTGAATCCACACAAGGAATCATAAAGACCCAAAGAGGCTAACCCGATCCGGGAGTGAGCGGACGTGGGTGCAACATCGTACTGTGCAAGGTTTGCTCTCCGTAGTATCCGTTCGTACCTTCCGACACTCCTGGCAGCTGTACTCATCAGCCTCACAAGTGCAGCCTGCAGAAGTAGCACAGCTCTGGTTGCCCGAGTAGTGGTAGCCTCGGACTGTGGGACCGGTTCCACCGCAACGCCTCGAATTCTCCCCTGACGTCAGCTGCCACCCTGCGCGCAACTCATTTGCCCGGCCACCCTTTGAGCTTCAATGCGCCAAACTGCAAGTGAGGAGCACATGATGTTATCGCCGCAATCAATGGGGCAGCTGTCCCACTTCGGGATGCACCAGCCTAACGAGCAGTCCTCCCCATGTCTCCCGACTCTCACCTCCCCCTCTGCGGCCTGTGCCGCAGGACTGCTCCCACTGCTCGTTGCATGGGCACCCGTCCGTGATATTGGCACATGTCTCCTGACACTTTGCAGTCCCTTCTTGTCAGGAACCATGACCTTGCGCCTGCTATGCCTGCTACCAATGATCCATGGGATTTGTTCAAACCAGCTAAATTCATTTGGAAATAGCTCGCCAATCGCCAGTGGTTTGGAAGTCGAAGTCCGTCTTTAAGAATCTATGACAAAGGCAGCAAGGCAGCCTCATCCCGTCCTGCCAAACCCCATCCCAGTTCATGTTCCCGTACTCGTCGTAGGGGGTCTCATAGCAGTAAATCCTCGTTGGCCACCGACCAGTGAAAATGCTCGGCTCGATGTTTTGCTCGTAGCCAAGCGGCTGATCACTGCGGCAGCTGATAGGGCAACTGCCATAGATTTTGGTCTGGCAGTATGAGCCCCACTCGGTCACACACATCTCCTGCGAAGGCATGGAATCCCACTTAAGGGCAGTCCGAGGTTCCAAAAACGCCCAGAGAGTCTTTTGAAAAGGGGGACCTCTAGGCTAGGCGTTCTTTCGGAGCCACTCCTCCCACTCAGGATCGCACGGACAAGAGCTATTCCAGCTTGCGCAGGTCCTTAGAACTCAGCATGGACCTCCTGAAACAGCAAGAGGACTTGCATCTAAAACATCGCCATCGTGCACCATGGTTCGCAACGGTAACATCAACTGAGCTTCTGGTTGCCCGCTGCCATCCAGTCAGGATTTCCTGTGCTGTCATAAGCCGTGGAGTAGCAGACCTGCGACCGGAGCATTCCTGTCAGACAAATATTGCCCAATAGATTGATCAAAGAAATCATAGTTGTCCATCCTGAAAATGTTGTTCATGTTCATGGAACGGCGAAAACGAGAAACGTAACCCGCAGCACGTGGTTCGCCAAGACCCACATGTCCACTTTGCGGTCCTGTCTCTCTTTATCCCCCATTTGCTCCACAAGTCACAATCGTGCCCTGTCCCTCGCCTGCTCATCCATGCCACAAGTGATTGGGCAGGGAGAAGACTTGGGATTGCACCAGCTGTACCCATACGCCGCGTCCGTGCACTTGTGCTCCCATGTTGCATCCTGAGAGCCGCGCTGGAGAGGGCAAACGGCACACGTCAGACGTCTGCAAAAAGCACATGCAGCCCGGCTGCGCATGGACAGCCCGTGGTGACGTTGCCACAGAACTCCGTCATCGGCGCGGTCCAATTGACCTCGCCTCATACGAATACGGAACACGAAGCGTCCGTCAGGCACGAATCCAGAACCTGTATACTGCTCTCGGATGAACCTTGGACGCAAACCCTTTTGCATTCGCAAACCCAACCTGTCGCATCGTAGACGTAGCTGTAGCAGTAGGTCTCCTCGGCCCCGCAGTACAAAGGGCAGCTGCCCCAGGACTTGTCCCAGCAGTACGCGGACCACTCGTCTTTGCACAGCTGCTCCTGCGAAAAAGACGAAGCGGGACATCGGAAAGCAAGAAAATCACACAAAAAGCCGCCCGGCCTGGTCGGTGCCTCAGCTCAAAAGAATCAAGCAAGAGCCCGAACAGCAACTTTTGCGCATGTCCAAACTCCCAACTCCAAAAAAGCAGATGTTGGGACCCGGGTGCTGGTGGCTTATTGAGTGCTTCTTGCATTTTTGCTCGAGGCGCAGGTCACATTGAAGGGGTCGTAGCAGCCATACATCTTTGGAGTGCACATCTGGCGACTGTTGGGCGACTCGAAACGGGGGTGTCCTTTTTTGGGAGACCCCCTAAAAAAATACAACCAAGTGGCGGTGTTCCCTTGGGTTAAGGAAAACCAACCAAAAACGGGCTATTCTCAAAAAGCGGACCACCCAAATAAATTCCTGTCGCGTGCCTGCAAACATGATCTTGTCCTTTGGTGCAAGCCCTGCCTTCATGCCATAGCTCTCGCATTCCAACTCCCACTTGTCGTTGCAGGGGCACCCCTTATCATAGGTTGAACAGGTGACATTTGCGGCATAAGTGGCATCCCAGTCTACCTCCCCATTGTCAAGGTACTCAGTGCCATAGCAATACATCTCTTCGCAGTAAGTCCACATTCCACCATAGCCGCCAGTATAGCTTCCGCCGGTGCTTGAATAGCCGCCGCTCCAATTGCCGGAGCCACCAGAGTAGCCGCCGGTGCTTGAATAGCTTCCGGTCGAACTCCCGTAGCCACCGGAGTAGCCACCGGTGGCTGAATAACTTCCGCTCCAATTGCCGGAGCCACCAGAGTAGCCGCCGGTGCTTGAATAGCTTCCGGTCGAATTGCCATAGCCACCGGAGTAGCCACCGGTCGAATTGCCATAGCCACCGGAGTAGCCACCGGTGATTGAATAGCTTCCGGTCGAATTGGCATAGCCACCGGAGTAGCCACCGGTGCCGGAATAGGTGGCGGAGCCTGAATAGCTTCCGTTAAAATAACCGCCATAGCCTCCGACTGAGTCCTCACCCAAGATCATGCAAGACACAAGCTGACAGAACACAGGTGGAGCAAGGAAAGACAAGGTGTTGGTGGGCTCGCAAACGAACCTCCCTGTGAGCCAACGAGTCACCAAATGGTGTGCAAAGATGGGGGACCACCACACATGGGCGGTTTTCTCTTAGTTTGCATTTTGAAATGACATCCCAACGGGGGTCACTCATCTTCGGAAACGCTGATCAATGCAAGTGGGGCCAGGCTTGGTTCACAGCCAGGAAGCTTCAGCTATCGCCAGCACACACAACGACGCGAGAAGCTTCGCCTGCCGAGGCAAACCTTCCCAGAAGGCAGGGCCCCTTTATGCAAGTTCTGTGTTCCATCACTCCCTTTCGTAGCCTTAGCAGCAATGCGCCCAGGAGGATTCGATACATAAGTCAGTCCCCTTTGAAGCGCACTTACGGCTTCGCACCGCGCCTCCATCGCGGCAATGCGCATGCAGTCTCAGTCTCAGGTCTCAAATGAGCTACAGAATCAGAAGCCAGAAATTCAGATTGCGAAGAGACAGACCTCATACCTGGGGATAGGAATGTTGGGAATGAAGCATGAAGCGAGTGAGCTTTCAGCAGCCAGTCATGAGCATCTCGGCGCGAAAAAAATATGCAATGCCTTTCTGGGACCTTTGCACTCTCAAACTTTTCGTCGGGTCCACATAAACTGCACAGCCGATTCATTCGAATCACTGGCAACAAAACACCTGAGAGTGAACGACAGGAGCACTGGGGACCAAGTGCCCGCCCCTGGCGTCCAGTTCGATCTACCCCAACGGAACTCCTGTGGCGGGGGCGTTGAAATAACGGAACTCCCTGGAAAACGCCGCACGAAGCAGAGACGTTGCTGCTCTTGAGGAAAGGAAGCCATCGTGCTCCAACATTTAAGTCGCTTGTCTCTTCAGCCTCGGGCAACATTATGTAAACTGTCCCTTGCCAACAAAATCAAACAAAGTCCCATCTCAAGAGAAGCAGGCTAAAGGCACTTGTGCAGTGGCTCAGCCATGCCGCGCAAGGCCAAAAATAGAGTGACATCCACTCAGCAAGAAGATGCCAAGGATGTCATAAACGACATGGCCCTTGAAGGCCTTTCGTAGTGCGAAATACATCTTTCCGTGCATTCGGCATGCACACGAGACGGTGTGTCCGGCACTTTGCCGAAGGCTGGCTAGCTCGCACAAGCTCACGCATAGGCAGCAACAAGTGCTGCAAGCAACGCCAGTGCCGATACTTTTTTACCTTGGCTTGAAAATGGCACAGATTCAAATTTGGAGAAAGCATAAAGACGTACTAGGTCAATTGCAAAGTCCGGTTCCTGAGCTTGACAGGGGCTGCTCAGGCCAAGATACTCGCCTGCCCGCTGTCAACTTGACCACTGCCTGGTATGCCTGAGACTCAAATGGACTCACTTTCAAGCTGTTCAAACGTGCAGGCAGAGGTAGGATGAGGTTGCCAAGAGCCATGCAGCGGCACTTGCGGCTGTTTAACCCTGGCAAGCTATTCAATGTAGCATATGACTTGCCCAGGGAGGTAATCAGTACAACCGAGCTATATGTAAGCATCCGATCAGTTGTTCGACAGTAGCAGTGTGACTGATACGAGAGAAACAAAATTCGTGAGAGTTCATGAGTCCAATTCATTGGACCTGAACTCCAGAAGCTCTCGCAAACACAGATCTCTCCACTATTGGGCCCAGCCAAACTGTGAACACCTTAGTGAAAAGCAGTGGAGCGCGAAACCTCCTGAAATGAACATGGCAAGATCCAATGTACATCGGGCATTCACGTCAGCATGCGGATTTTGGATTTGTCGCTGTCTGCCCCTCACTTCTAACTCGCTTGGCCGTGGGTGACCAAAGCAAACCTCACCGTCATTTTGAGGCACGCCCATGGATGCTCGCAGCGCTTCCCATCACATGGGAACCCCATGTGCAAGCCCTGTTGCGGACGCGACAACACCAGGCCCCCCAGAAAAAAATGAAAGAACTTGGATCCTCAAAGTCCGTTTGATTTTTGGACCTGCCCCACACACCATCTGTCCTTTCAAGTTGCTGCCAGTGGAACCGGCCTCAGCGTGATCCGACTGATGGGTTCGGTCCCGTGTGTCCGACTCCGGGTGCCAGGAACCATGTTTGTGTTTGAGTTTGTCTGGTGCGACTCTGCGGCTGCAAATGTGTTTCTGTGTTATTGTGTTGTGTTCATTTGTTTGCCTTGCATTTTGTTGATGTTGTCTTGTTCATTTGATTGATTGTTTGATGGTTCTTTTTTTGTTTGCTTGGTTGCTAATTTGTTTGTTTGTTTTGTTCATTGTCTGTTTGTTGGCTGGTTGGGTTTGATTGGGTTTGGGTTTGCCTTGGTTTGGCTTTGCTTTTTTTGTTTTGCGTTGGATTGTTTATTTTGTGCTGTTTTGTGTGATTTGTTTGTGTTTGTTTGCTTGCTTGCTTGCTTGCTTGCTTGCTTGCTTGCTTGCTTGCTTGCGTGCTTGATTGCTGGCTTGCTTGACTGCTGGCTTGCTTGATTGCTGGCTGGCTGGCTGGCTGGCTGGCTGGCTGGCTGGCTGGCTTGAATGCTTGCTTGCTTGCTTGCTTGCTTGCTTGCTTGCTTGCTTGCTTGCTTGCTTGCTTGCTTGCTTGCTTGCTTGCTTGCTTGCTTGCTTTCTTGCGTGCTTGTTTGCTTGCTTGCTTTGCCTTGGTTTGGCTTGGCCTGGCTTGGTTTGGTTCTGCTTTGCTTTGTTCTGTCTGTTTTCTTTTGGTTTGTTGGCTGGCTTGTTGGTTGGTTTGTTTGTGCCGCACGTTTTGTGGCGCTTTGTTTTGACGCTCTTGTGTTGCGTGCTATTTTGTGCTTTGTATGGTTAGTGTATTTGTTCTTGGTTTTGTGTGGTTTTGGGCTTTGGGTCATGTGGTTGTGTGAGTGTGTTTGTTTGCTCCTTTGTTCCTTTGTTGTTTCGCTTCATCGCTTGCTTGCTTGTTTGCTTGCTTGCTTGCTTGCTTGCTTGCTTGCTTGCTTGCTTGCTTGCTTGCTTGTTTGTTTGTTTGTTTGTTGGTGTGTTCGTTTGGATTGCGTGCTTGCTTGTGCGCTTGCATATTTGTTCCATTGTTTGCTTGTGTGCTTGTATATGTACTTGATTGTTTGTTTGGTTGGTTCTTGGTTGGTTGGTTAGTTGGTTGGTTGGTTGGTTGGTTGGTTGGTTGGTTGGTTTGCTAGTTTGTATCTTCGTTTGTTTGTGTCTTTGTTTACTCTCTTGTTTGCTTGCTTGCTTGCTCTTGCTTGCTTGCTTGCTTGCTTGCTTGCTTGCTTGCTTGCTCGTTTGGTTTGGTTTGGTTTGGTTTGGTTTGGATTGGTTCTGTTTTGCCTTGGTTTGTTGGTTGCTTTGTTGGTTGGTTGGTTTGTTTCTGCGTGCGTGCGTGCGTGCGTGCGTGCGTGCGTGCGTGCGTGCGTGCGTGCGTGCGTGCGTGCGTGCGTGCGTGCGTGGGTGGGTGGGTGGGTGGGTGGGTGGGTGGGTGGGTGGGTGGGTGTGTGGGTGTGTGTGTGTGTATGTTTGTGTGTGTGTGTCAGTGTGTGTCAGTGTGTGTCAGTGTGTGTCAGTGTGTGTCAGTGTGTGTCAGTGTGTGTCAGTGTGTGTCAGTGTGTGTCAGTGTGTGTCAGTGTGTGTCAGTCAGTGTGTGTCAGTGTGTGTCAGTGTGTGTCAGTGTGTGTCAGTGTGTGTCAGTGTGTGTCAGTGTGTGTCAGTGTGTGTCAGTGTGTGTCAGTGTGTGTCAGTGTGTGTGTCAGTGCAGTGTGTGTCAGTGTGTGTGTGTGTGTGTGTGTGTGTGTGTGTGTGTGTGTGTGTGTGTGTGTGTGTGTGTGTGTGTGTGTGTGTGTGTGTGTGTGTGTGTGTGTGTGTGTGTGTGTGTGTGTGTGTGTGTGTGTGTGTGTGTGTGTGTGTGTGTGTGTGTGTGTGTGTGAGTGTGTGTGTGTGTGTGTGTGTGTGTGTGTGTGTGTGTGTGTGTGTGTGTGTGTGTGTGTGTGTGTGTGTGTGTGTGTGTGTGTGTGTGTGTGTGTGTGTGTGTGTGTGTGTGTGTGTGTGTGTGTGTGTGTGTGTGTGTGTGTGTGTGTGTGTGTGTGTGTGTGTGTGTGTGTGTGTGTGTGTGTGTGTGTGTGTGTGTGTGTGTATGTGTGTGTGTGTGTGTGTGTGTGTGTGTGTGTGTGTGTGTGTGTGTGTGTGTGTGTGTGTGTGTGTGTGTGTGTGTGTGTGTGTGTGTGTGTGTGTGTGTGTGTGTGTGTGTGTGTGTGTGTGTGTGTGTGTGTGTGTGTGTGTGTTTTTGTATGTGTGTTTGTGCTTTGTGGTATTGTGTGTGCGTGTTTGTCTGTTTGTGTAGTGTGCCATTGGGTTGGTTGCTGCCCTTGTTGTTTTTTTAATATGTTTGCCGTTTTGTGTTGTATGATGTTGCTGTTCATGTGTTTGGTAGTTTTGCGCCTTTGTTCGTTGGACGTGTTTGGCGTAGTTGCATCATGCGTTCTCGCGCTGTTTGTGTGTTTTGCTGATTGCCTGCGCTGTTTGCGTTGGTTGCTTTGTGTTGTGTGTTTGTGTGTTGTGTTTGTGCGGGTGACTGTACACATTGTGCGGTTGCGGTGGGTATTTGTGTGATGCTTGCGTGTTGGGGTTTCTGTGCGCTGCTTGTTTTGTGCGGACTCGTGCGCTTGTGTGTTTGGTGTCTTTGCGTGTTTTTGTCCTTGGTGGTGTGGTCGTTGTGCTGTGCGTTCTTGTCTGATGTGCGTGTTCTCTCCTTGCTGGTATTTATGTTGCGTTGTATTTGTTGCGCTTGTTCGACTCTGTTGTGTGTGTGTATATATTTGGTGTTTTTGTTTGTGCGTTGCTTTGTTGTGTTGTTTGTGTTTTGTTGTTGGTGTATATATATATATATACATGTGTATTCCTTTAAACGGCTCACCCTGCCACATTTCCGCGTTGCGAGACCTGATTGGTCTACCCGGGCGCGATGAACCTTCTAGGTTTACACAGGTATTTGTAAGCCACAGATCAAGCACCTCACCGTAGTTCCAGTCAAACTCTTCCTTTCCTTCCAACTGCCCCAGCAATACCTTGTGTAGGCTTAAGATTCGGCAACGAAGTACCGCAAGACCTCGCACATTGCCCCTTCAACAACATATTGGCATACGGTGTCTTCATCTCTGCGACCCTCACTTACATGACTTAGGAAGCTGCGTCTCTCTTCCTTTCCCTTGATTCCTTTCCTTGGCTGTCCTGTCCTGTCCTTCCTTTATTTATCTATATATCATTACTATGTTGTTCGTTATTTCTTTTCTTTTATTTCTTTCTTTCTTTCTGTTCTTTCTTTTTTTTGTCTTTCTTTCTTTATGTCTTTCTTTGTTTTTATGTTTGTCTTTCTTTCTTTTTTTTGTTTATGTATTTCTTTATCTATTTATTTATTTCTTTAGTTATTTCTTTATTTCTTTATTGATTTCTTTCTTTCTTTCTTTCTTTCTTTCTTTCTTTCTTTCTTTCTTTCTTTCTTTCTTTCTTTTCTTTCTTTCTTTCTTTCTTTCTTTTCTTTCTTTCTTTCTTTCTTTCTTTTCTTTCTTTCTTCCTTTCTTTCTTTCCTTCTTTCCTTCTTTCCTTCTTTCCTTCTTTCCTTCTTTCCTTCTTTCCTTCTTTCCTTCTTTCCTTCTTTCCTTCTTTCCTTCTTTCTTTCTTTCTTTCCTTCCTTCCTTCTTTCTTTCTTTCTTTCTTTCTTTCTTTCTGTGCCTTGCTGCAAACGTCAGAAATTGCATCCCACTGCGTGATACTTGTCTTCCTTCGCGCTAAAACAACATGGTACAGTTGAGCTCCCGGCAGTTGAACTCGTTGTGCTTGCCGACGCAGTTTGGGCCTTTCAAGCACGAGTGTCAAACTGTTGATTGCAGCCCTCACGGTGAAGTCGAAGCTCCAGTCCGGGACTCGCCGACTCTCACAGACCCTACGAAGCGACCGTAGGCACCTTAGAAGTTGTTGCGGCCACTGTGGTAATGCCAGCCTTCCAGACGCACCAGACATGAAATGCGAAGCACCACTCATGTCAGGCCTGCGCAGCTCGCTTGTCCTTGGCAGTCTGCGTCCGGGTCACGACCTTCTTGCTGGACTGGTCGACGTTGACACCGGCCTGCAAATCAAACAGCGTGCGAGGTCTGCAAACCACTGCTCAACGCACCCTACCGCCAGTTTCAAACAACAAAGTCGAATAGTGCCCAGAACATGGACAAAGCAGTTTGTGTACATCTCGACCAGCCTTCGCGTCGATGCTTCCTACAGAGTTCACAGCCTTGGGATCCAAGCATGTGCCAGCGACAGCTGCCGTCCCGTCCAACCATTGCGTGTCTGGCCAAATTGCCTTGGTCAGCTCCGGATTGCTGCTGGTCACCATCTGCTTCAGTTGCTCGCCCACTGCAGAAGGGGACACGGAGCTCTTTCCTGCACGCAAGCAGGCAATCGATCAGAGCCATACCTTGCGGGAAAACAATACAGTACCAACAATCTTCAACCCAAAACCTTCCGGAATGGGCTGAAGCTCCACAGCCGATCTCTGGAGACCCGAAGCAAACTCAGAACTCGGAGCCCGTCGGACGCCGTCGCACCTGTGTTCGACACGGTGAAGGCCAGAATCGGCTTGGCCTCTGCCAGCTGTCGTCCGCCTGAGTCAGAATCCATAGCTTGAAAGGCGAAGGCTATGAGGTTGAAGACTCATATGTATATATATACATACATATTCCAGGTGTGCGTGTTGGGTGCCGTTTTAAGGTTGGTCCGTAATTCCGATTTTCAAGGCTCGGGATTTCTTTGTTTCACTTGCTTGATCGAGATAGTCCCGGCTGAAACTGCGACTGTAAACGCGGACTACAAAAGCTGCAAGCCTTGTGCAACTGACACCACAAAACAAGTTGATGATTGCTTGTTCGGACTTGACCATGAGAAGCTTTGCAGGAGTTTCCAAAGTTATTGCTTTCGTCTCTTTTATGTGCACTTCATGACTATCCGCTGAACAAGGGTCTCAGGCTCTACTCTGTCACCATGGATGGAAAGCACTCCAAGGAGCTCAGGCGGCGAGAGGACGCCGTAGCAATGGACATGGTGGACACCAGGTCTGCAGGCAACTGCAGCGCCTCGGTTTGGCGCTCGGTATCCTCAGCCCCCACTCCGAAGAGCCGGAAGCCCAACATGGCAAGGCGGCAAGGCCCTCCCGATGTTCGCCTCCGAGGGAGTGCGGTCATGCAAACATGGCGCGCTGTTGAGCTTGATCCTGGAGGTGTCAGAGTTGGCCGCAGCTTTGTCGCCTCAGAGCGAGTCTTAGAGTTCGAGGGACTCAACCTGCTGATCAGGGAATTTGTTTCGAGGCAGGCGAGTCTCCGAGGCAGAAGTGAAGAAGTCGCAGACAAGAAGACAGGAGCTAGAGGAATAGGCATGGTAAGGCACGGTCAAACTACTCGCTTCCCGAAGTGGGAAACTTGGTGAGTCTTTCGGGGGAATGTGACCCGTCACCCCCCCGCAACTGGGACCGAACCTCATCTACGTGGGCCAAGCTCTTTGCGTTCAAAAAATTACCACCACCAGCCCCGCCCAGCCCTGATTCCCTGATCTCGGCAGTTCAGTGGCTTGTTCCTGTCAGAGTGATGTACACAGTGGTGGTCTCCTTCTGAGTGGCATCAACCGCCGTTGCATTGGAAGTGCCGTACCTCAGCGTTTCACATCCCGACCTGCGTCAGCCAAACGCAGCCTTGAAAATGGATGCCGAGCAACACAAGGAAACAAAGAGAATGGTTTCGACACAAATCCACTTCACTGGGCTGTTCAAAATGGAGGGTCTACCAATCCCCATCCACACACCGGACATCCTGAGCAGCCCAGCTTGAACGTTGCTCGCCTAGCCCGGTGTGTTCGGATGCATCTTGTCTGGGCAAGGCGCAAGTTTACGCACTTCGAAGCGGCTGGAAGCACCGCCCCCGAGGGGCAGCGCTTCATGTTCTTGCCCGGGGAGCACTTCTCTCCTGGAGGAAGGCAGGTGACCTTGGGAAACTCACCGGTCAACGGCACGCTCACTCCAACACGTGCCCTGTTGTGTGGCTCTCCGGACAAAGGAATACGATGTGACAGACCAAGAACCTATGTCCTTTCAGCTATCTCGGGAAAGAAGAAGCCCAGGTGGTATCCCCAACAGCACTCCCGGAACTCCAGTCTACCCAGCTACCGCTCCACAGAACCCCTCTCAGCCTTCGAACCCGAACCCTATCCAGCCTCGACCTTTAAACGACCCCGAAACCGCATCGGAAGGGCGTCGGAGCTGCTCTAAACGCTCAGCTGGAGACACCCGAGCGTTCAGCTGGAGACATACCGACACGGGCGAATTCAATATTTGTGCAGTACTTGCATAGCCTGAGAGTGATTCAGACGAGTTGCAATTCTAATATGTGTTTTCTAATTGTAAGTCTCAAATTCAGCAATAACGTATTAGCAAAGAACATGGATATTATGATAGTAATACAACATGAATGTTCGATATGAGAATGTTAGCATGATGTTGTCGGAGGATTCTCATGTTGCCGTGACAGGCAGAACTTGCGTGACGCGTGGTATTTGGTTCACCATATGTGTTCACTCTTTGTTCAAAGTTGTAATCATGGCTCAGGAATCCATTGTTTACTGCGCCTGCTGCATTCATACCGATCCTGGTCCTCAGGAGGATTCAATTGATTCATTGGGATGTCAGATTGCACGCACCTTCAAGGGGCATTTGACCTGTCCTCTGCAGTCCATCGTTGCGCCTTCCAAACACTTGGCTGAGCCTCTTGAATTAGAACTGCGAGTGCGAGCCCAGCAGCGGTCTCCGACTCGAAGTTGCCAGAAGAGTCCAGGTTGGTTTGAAAGCACGTGGCATTGCCTCGGTCGACTGCCGAAGCATGGCGGCTACAATTGCGCAGCGCTTCCTCTCGCGTCTACGTCTGGCATTCTGAACTAACACGGAAGAAGTGGAAACCCTACTGCTGCTGTGCTGCCGGCTTGAATCTGGTCGACCGTGCACGGCACTGGGCACTTCTTGTGGTAGAACTTTGGAGAGCAGAGGTTGTTCTCTGCCTGAGTCCAAGACGAAACATCACTTTCTCATGGGAACCTCCTGACTTCCGGAGTCGGGCACTCTCGGTGCGGCCGAGGCTGCGTCGTTGGGATCCGGGCAGCTCACGGTGTTCTTGCCGCAGGGGCAAGCCTTGCCGGACTTGGCGCAGGTCGTCTCCCAATCTGTGATCTTGCCGTACGTGTCGTAGTTTGGCACAGTGCACACCTCTTCCGACTCCTGGCTGGACGAAGGGCGGATTCAAGTGGGGCAGGGAGTGCAGGCTAAGCTCGGGTACGAATACGACCTGAACCCTGCACCCTCCTTGCAAGGACAGATCAGGGCTTTCTCGCTGGGGAGCACGCAAACGTCGCTTCCAGGGCACTTGGCGGTGTTCTTGCCGCAGGGGCAAGTAGCATCGGACGCGACCTCGGCGTTGCTTGGATCAACCTGTAGGTCGCTTCCATAGCGGGGTTGGAGGAAGGGTCGAGATTTGATTCGGAATTAATGTTTGCACCGCACTGTCAACATCCGGCCCGAAGAACAACAGCCAAAAATTGAGCACGCGGAAGAACAATAGGTAAGAACCAAAACACATGGCCCTCCTCGGAGGAACAGCTAAAAAGCAGGGAAGGGAGCTGTGCCAGGAAGTGCCGGCATGGGCTCTGTGGAGCCAAGCGGCACAGACCTCCCGGTCACTGATGCGACTGCCAGCATCGCTGAAATCAGTGAGGTAGCCTCAGCAGTGCAAACGGCAACGGCGGGGACTTGGAGTCGGAAGAAAAGTGGCGGTGGCATTGGCACGAGCCCTAAGTATACCAACTGCCTGAGCTTGACCCCGGTCAAGAACCGGCTCAAAACGCTGTCCCCCCCCCCCCCCCCGGCGCGCTAAATGCAAGGAGCATTTCTTCTGCTCTGCCGTGCAGGTAATGGGGCATCCCTCGCTGGCCGGTCTACATCCCACCATGTTGCAGCGCTCGGCCTCCTTGCCACCTTTGGCAGCTAGAAATGGCAAGCTTCCGAGTCTGAGCATCAGCATGCAACCCGGAGTGGGCACAGGGGCTCGGACAGGGGCACTTGTCGAAGCTGTCGGCACACTGCTCAGGAGGCTGGAAGTATCCCAACGATGTGCCGTTGGGCAAGTAGTCGACCACCATGTCACACGCGACTTTGCCCTCGGCTCGAGTCGAAAGTCGGCCAGGCAGCCACAGCTCGTCAGCCGGCGTCAGGCGCCAACAAGCACCAGCAACTTCTACTGACTGCGCCCCGCACAACGCGCCATGTGCGGGGCATGCTGAAGCCTGCCAAACCCTCAGACGAGGATCTTCCGGGCACGTCACGGGGCAGTAGCCACCGACCTTCGGGAGACATTCGGACCAGGAGCCATACCACCTGAGAGGCGCTCGCATGCCACCACACGCACATGGCAGCCAGCACACAAACCGGACCTCGGATCGACCTTCGAGCCATAGCGACGAGACCAAGTGGCGGGTCGCTGAAGGTGCACTCGAAGGCATTCTGGCCCTGTGAGCAGTCACACTTCTGGCCGCTTGGCACGCAAGTCTCCTGGCGTCCGCGAGCATCACAGTTTGAAAGAGGTTCGAACCCGCAAATTGCAGCTGTTCAGTAGTCCAACATGTGAAACACATTTCCACATCTCCAGACTCCAGCTCACAACTCTTCAGCACAAGCCCAAAACGCAAGGCTTACATCCGCAGCTCCAGCCGCAAAATTGCAATGATACATAAAGGACAAATCCCCTCCAGCTACAAAACCGCAACACAAGTACACTCCCTCAGCTCCGGCTTCAACGTCGCATCTCTCCAATCCAAGTCGGTACGTGCGCAAGGTTCGTGCCCACCAATTGCAGCTCGCAAGTCCAAGAACTTTCCAGTACAAGTCTAGTCTAGTACGTAAAGTACGCGATTCGAGCTCGAGACGCGGAACTTCAAATCTAGAACAGATTTTGCGTTGTCCTTATCGTTCGCAGTGAGTTTGGGGCACATCGCTTCGCTTAGGGTCCATCCCACCACAAAGTAGGGGGGGTTCAAAAAATCAACTCCATGTCCTTTGACAGCACCCTCCAGCAAGAAACCGTGCGTCCTTGGTGCTGATCCAGTCTCCCTGAGCATCGTAGCTGGGGACGTAGCAGTAGTCTTCGTTGTCCTTGCAGTAGACTGGGCAGGTGTAGCGGGTGTTCATCCTGGGCACCAGCACCAGCAAGCACACGCATGTCCGAGCAGTCAGCTCAAGTCAGCTGAGGAGCCAGAAATCCCAGGTGGGATAGCAGAGGTCTTCGTTCATGTAGGGGTCGTGGCACTTCTGCGAGTGCGTGCCACAAGGACAGCTCGTTCCCTGCGCGCGACAGGATTGCAGAGGTCAGAAACACCCTTGTCGCATCTCAAGGTAGACATCCGAGGCATGTTTGACGCCAACAAGGCACTCCCCGAAAGCCGGCCTGATCCACACATGTCTCCGAGTACATAGTCGGGTAGCCTGTGGCATTGTAGTCCGTCTTGTAGCCTTGCGTAGGGGGCTACCCGACACTTGAGAGCTTTGGACAAGCTCACCGTGATGCCCAAAGGGCTCATCCAAAGAGTGCCTAGTCTGGCCTAAACTAGTCGTTGCAGACTTCATGACTTCAAACAGAATGTACTCTGACAGGAAACACCGCCAAGTGATGTGAAGTGCTGCAAACCACAAACAAGAAGGAGCTACAGGCCAGACCGGCCTTGCCAAACTCCCGCCGAGCTGCACTTCTTCTGCTCCGCTTTGCAACTTACTGGACAACTCCAGGCGTCGGGAAAGCATTCCTCCTCGGATCTCAAGGCCCGTGCCAGGTCTCCGAACTTCCGAACTTCCCTCGGCCCAAGCTTCCAGCTCGTAGCCGTACTCATCCGTCCACTTGCAGGGCTTGGCGTTGGCTCCGCAGGGACAAGTCTCTGTGTTGGCCACACAGCTTTCGGTCACCGGGGTTTGCCAGTCCTCAGAATCCAAGCAAGCCACAAAATATAGGTCCAGCTTCATACATGTGATGCTTGCAGTCACACAAGCAAGGAATGCCAGCATATGCTCGTGAGCCCAAGTGGCATACTCGCCTTAGCCGCCACAGGCAAACTGTTGCTTGAATCGGTATGAGGTGGCAAACGGCGAGACAAGACGTGCAGCCAACAAAACACCCCCCGCCTTCAGGCGTAAAGGACACGGGATAGCAAGACTTCTCATCCGCGCCACAGATCACAGGGCAGCCGTAGTAGGTAGATTCACAGTAGGACCAGCCATCCATGCTGCCTGAGCTAGGCGATCAAGAGGGTCTAGATTGGCCTGCGAGGCCAACTGATCGACAAACACAAGACCCTCCGACCCAAGACCTCGCAAGATTCGCGTGCTGTTCCAGCCGCTGCTCCCTCCCTGCGAGCATTCGCAACCTGTGCAAAACTGCCACTAAGCTGCATTTGACGGAGTTGGCTCCACAAGGGCACTCCTGATCTGCTGGAGCGCAACGGTCAGAGCCAGTGACGTAGGAACCTGGCAGACTTGCGCCAAGTTTTAGCAATGAGCACTTTAGGCGGGTGTCGAAGCACGTTGACTTCTTGGACCAACCGTTCATGAGAATCAGCAGGTGCCTTGAGCATCATAGTCTGCGACCCAGCACAACTGCTCTTGCGAAGTACATTCGGCAGGGCACTCGTCCTCAAGTCGGGCAGCACAATGAGTGCAAGTCGAATAAACAGCAGTATTGGGCCAAATCAGAGAGCGGAGACATGTGGGTGCAGGGCCAGATTTTGGTCTCAGTAGCGCTGCTGGAGATGCAGTAAGCGTTCATGCCAGTGCCACACTTCTTGGCACTTGTCGTGTCGCACTCCACCGGGCAGTCCCAATCATCTTCACCTGGGATAGCGCGGCTGCCCGGCCGGTTCAAAGCAATGGCAAGGAAAAAGAAGAGGAAAAAGCAAGGAATGAGACCTTGAGATCGGCACCGTTCTTTGTCACTTGTGGCCCCCCCGTGAATCAGAAGTCAAGCACCACTGTTCTCTCGAGTGGCTGGTCCTGTCCTTGCAAAAGGTCGACCACGTCATGTAGCCGGACACATCAAATCCTAGCCGGCCAAACATTCAAACAGCTCCATCTTTGCGCACAAAGGGGCAAAGCCAAATTGCCCTTGTCCTACCGTGGAGCAGTAGAGCTGATCCACGGTGCAAACCACGGGGCCTCGTCTTGCCCCCGCAAACATGCAGGCCGGGCATGCGTTGCATGGGATGCACGTCGGGGGAGAAAACGGGGCGGGTGACTGGGAGAATTGCTGTCGCATGTCGGCCAAACATGTTAAAGCCCAGCGGCAGCCATCCGGATACCACTCCTTCGCGTAGCACTCATACTTGCCAATGGAGTCCTGCGTGGCAGTCGTCCAAAGTTCGGGTGTGAAATCCACACAAGGAATCATAAAGACCCAAAGAGGCTAACCCGATCCGGGAGTGAGCGGACGTGGGTGCAAAATCGTACTGTGCAAGGTTTGCTCTCCGTAGTATCCGTTCGTACCTTCCGACACTCCTGGCAGCTGTACTCATCAGCCTCACAAGTGCAGCCTGCAGAAGTAGCACAGCTCTGGTTGCCCGAGTAGTGGTAGCCTCGGACTGTGGGACCGGTTCCACCGCAACGCCTCGAATTCTCCCCTGACGTCAGCTGCCACCCTGCGCGCAACTCATTTGCCCGGCCACCCTTTGAGCTTCAATGCGCCAAACTGCAAGTGAGGAGCACATGATGTTATCGCCGCAATCAATGGGGCAGCTGTCCCACTTCGGGATGCACCAGCCTAACGAGCAGTCCTCCCCATGTCTCCCGACTCTCACCTCCCCCTCGGCCTGTGCCGCAGGACTTCTCCCACTGCTCGTTGCATGGGCACCCGTCCGTGATGCTGGCACATGTCTCCTGCAATTTGGATGTGTCTTGATTGAGGAGATGTGGGTGTGACTCTTTTGGGAGAGCTGAACGGCAGGGGGCCGAGTTTTTGAAACTGAAGTCTGACAACTAGTTGTATTTCAAGCAGAATCCAGAGTTGTTAGAGAGAAGTTGGGTGCCTGCTGCTCTGTCAAGGCAGAGTAGTTGCCAATTATCTTAGCATATTTCTGTTCATTCCTGTTACACTGTTTGGCATTAGAACTGAATTAGAATTCTATTGCAATCCTGTATGTAAGGTTTAATTTGGAATCCAATTCAGATATGATTTAGACTTATATAAATGCGTTGTAAGCAAACACATTAAACCAATTTCCTTGAGTTTCTGTTGGTTTGTCTCTCCTTTTGAGCGGTGGGCAAATTAGAAGAAACGACCAGCCTGCCTTTCCTTAGACTTTAAATGACATCTAATGAGGAAAAGGAAGCATGCTGGTTCTTCTAATGTGCAAGCCCCTTGAAAGGAGTGAGGAAAAACACGGCAAACACGCACATTCCATTCCAGTCAGATAGCAAGGTTTACAGTGCGAGGCTTTACATTTAAATCTGATTTTGGTTGGAATTCAATTCATGTTGTTCAATTAGATAGTACGTAGCACGTCCCTTCCATGTAGGATTTCAAATAGAAAAAATATAACTTTGAATTTATATAATTTATATGTTGAATAGGATTCTGTCCAAATATGAGGTCCATTAGAATCTAACAAATGCTTCCTATGCATGTTGTAAACAGCAATTCCTCCAATTCCAAATAGGATGTTTGTTTGGAATCTACTTAGAACTTACCTAGAATGTCATTCAAGCATATACATGTATATATATATATATATACATACATATGGGAGCTAGTAAGGAAAGACAAGCTGGTTGTTTCCTCTAGGTAATTCAATTACAATAATTGTGTGGAATCAAATTTTACATACGCCTTCCTTTCCAAGCATCTAGAACTTGATGCTTCGTTGCTGTGGAGAAATGTGTCTTGCTGACCCAAACCTCAAATAGTTCAAACAACCTCGAGAAAACAGCAAGAAACAAATACAGGCCCAATGTGCTGAGGCCCCTAGCTTAGGGGGCCATGGAGCCTATGTGTTTTTGATGTTGGCTTGGTTGTCTCGTTCTTTTGTTAAAACAAATACATTTTTAGGTGGCTTTCAAAAACGCAGGCCCGCGGCGGCCGCTACTGTTTTTAGGGGACCCAAGATTGGCGGCTGTTGTTTTGGTTTCCCATGAAACCAACTCAAAAGGGGGTTGCCAAAACAGACACACCCCTCTGTCTTGATTTAGCAGGATGTCTCACTCTTCCTTGAAGAAATTCCCCCTTTGCTAGCACCCCCCCATAGTCACCAGGCCCTGCAAAACGTTGATTTGTTGATTTGGTGTTTTCGGCAAATTTCGCCAACCCCTGGCAAGCTAAAACTAGACAGCCAACCTGCCAACTCGCTGCCCTTCCACAGCGGAAAGCCCCTTGCGAAGGTTCGAGAATGTGTTGCCGCCGTGCGCCGTGGGCCCTGTGAAAACTCAAGGAACAGATCTTTGGCTTTCTGATGGGAGCCTTTGCATCTTAGAATCTTGTTCGGATCACGCATAGCGTGCTCGTAGTGTGTGATGTTCCAAGTATACGACTGGTTTGATATTCTCGCTCTCTGTTTCATTTGGACACCAACTGATGCTCTAATTGTATGCCCGGCATTCTCTAACCCTTTCCACCCAGTTGTTTCCATTGGCACTGACAAAGCCAGCAGTTTGCTGCGGATGGCAAACTCAAGTCCCGTGAAGCAATTCACTGAGCTGTGCTGCAACTTCTTTGCCATGAGCATCTGCCCCAAGAACTCCCGTCCTTCCAAACCCCATTCCAGTCCATATTCCCGGACTGGTCGTAGGGGGTCTCATAGCAATAAATCCTCGGTTGCCACCGAAAAACTTGCTCGGCTCGAGCATCCCATGAGCCAAGTAGCTGATCCTCGCTGCAGCTGATGGGGCAACTGCCATAGACTTTGGTCTGGCAGTATGAGCCCCACTCGGTGTCGCACAGCTCCTCTTTTCGGTCGCAATGTGGCTGTGGGTCAAAAATAGGTACCCAAAATGGAGCGTAAATGGAACCAAAGATTAAAACCTGCAGTCCCCTGGTGGCCTAATTTCGACCCACACCCATGTGTGTGTGTGTGTGTGTCTTTTCAATGGTAGCCTTTTGGGGCGGGGGGGGGGGATTAGTTTAAATCGAAACCAACACGAAATAAAGCTCGTTTTTCTCTCCGGGGGTCATGTTTTTCACAGAAACCCACCGGGAGTGCTCCCCAAGCGCGCTCCTCAAAGTTCGGATCGCAGGGGCAAGTGCTGGACTGGCTCTGGCAGGACCTCAGCGGCTCGCTCCGAGGAGCCCCAGCGACTCGAGGCGAGCCGGGAGAAGGACTGGAACTCCAAGTCGACAAATCCACAGGCTGGGTGCTGTTTTTCGGTTTTTCTTGTTCCTTCTTTTTTCTTTTCGTTTTTTCTCCAGGGATCTCTGGCACAGAGCGTGAAGTCGGCCGAGAGTCTGGGTTCCCTGTGCCGTCCAATCGGGATATCCCTCGCTGTCGTAGGGCGTTGTGTAGCACACCTGCCACGGAATGGGCAAAAGCAATGTTGGCCAACCAATGCTTGGAAAGCACAACGTCAAGTTCTATCCTGTGGCATGCCAAGCCGGAAAACCTATGGGCCAGATTGTGCATCACAAGCAGGATGACACAGCCAGAGTAACAGGAATATGTGAAATGTCCTGCGACAGCTTGTCCATCCCGCCTGCTCATCCATGCCACAAGTGATTGGGCAGGGAGAAGACTTGGGATTGCACCAGCTGTACCCATACGCCGCGTCCGTGCACTTGTGCTCCCATGTTGCATCCTGAGAGCCGGGCTGGAGAGGGCGAACGGCACGCGTCAGACGTCTGCAAAAAGCACATGCAGCCCGGCTGCGCATGGACAGCCCGTGGTGACGTTGCCACAGAACTCCGTCATCGGCGCTGTCCAATTGACCTCGCCTCATACGAATCCGGAACACGAAGCGTCCGAAAGGCGCGAATCCAGAACATGCATACTGCTCTTGCATGAACCTTGGCCGCAGATCCGTTTGGCCAAACCCAACCTGTCGCATCGTAGATGTAGCGGTAGCAGTAGGTCTCCTCAGCCCCGCAGTACAAAGGGCAGCCGCCCCACGACTTGTCCCAGCAGTACGCGGACCACTCGTCTTTGCACAGCTGCTCCTGCGAAAAAAAGAAGAAGAAGAAAGAGAAAGAAAAACAAACGAAACCGGACATCTGAAAGCAAGAAAACACACAAAACGCCGCCCGGCCTGGTCGGTGCCTCAGCTGCGAGGCGAGTGCGCACACTTTGTGAAATGCAGTTGACCTGTGACCCTGGACTGCTTGCACCACACATAATTCTAAGGTGTGCTACGATTGATGTTTGTGGGATTCGCCATAATTTTAGCCCAGGTACAGGTCACGTCGAAGGGGTCGTAGCAGCCTTCAGACTTGGAAATGCACACCTGGCGAGTCACGAACATCTGCCGGCCATGTGCGGTACTCAAACTGTCTCCCTTTTCTGTCCCAACGCAACGCGTGTGCCCCGCCTTCATGCCATAGCTCTCGCATGCCAACTCCCACTTCTCGTTGCAGGGGCATCCCTTATCATAGGTTGAACAGGTGACGTTTGCGGCATAAGTCGCATCCCAGTCTACCTCCCCATTGTCAAGGTACGCAGTGCCATAGCAATACATCTCCTCGCAGGAAGTCCACGACCCACCATAGCCGCCAGTGAAGCCGCCGGTCGAATAGCCACCAGCATAGCCACCGGCGCTTGAAAAGCTTCCAGCGCTTGAATAGCTTCCGGTCGAAAAGCCGCCGTAGCCGCCGTCCTGCATTTAAGCGCATGTAAGAAGGAAGGCAGTGAGTGAGTG